GAGCCCGATGCGGGACTCGATCCCGGGACTCCAGGATCATGACCTGAGCCGAAGGCAGTCGCTTAACCAACTGAGCCACCCAGGCACCCCGATATCATGCATATTTAAAAGCTAGTGGTGATATTTTAGTCTTATTTTTTGGTTTTCAAAATCTCATAATTTAGCATGTGTTATATTTTAAACTGAAAGCACATCTCCATTCCGCCCAGCTCCATTGCAAGTGTTCGAGAGCTACGTGTAGTTGTGTGTGCCGTACCTGGACAGTGCAGGCTTACACTCTTTGTACTGAAGGGTGGTCCAGGCACCAGCAACATCAGCATCACACGGGAGCTTGTTAAAAGGAAAATCTTAAGCCTAACCCCTATTCTCAGTCAGGACCTACATTTTAACAATATTCCCAAATGATTCAAGTGCACATTGAAGTTTTAGAAGCACTGTCCTAGTGCAAATTTGCCTGGTGACAAGAAAGGAACAATTAAACATCCTGATTCTTAGACTCATCCCATAAAGATTTTCATTCCGTAGTGTGGCAGAAGAGACAAAGAACCTGTATTTTTACTGAGAGGTGATGTTTATAATTAGGCACCTTTGGGAAAGATGGGTTTATGGAATCTAAGTATATTTTTAATTGTAGTTATTTTCAGGTATAAATAACTTAGACGCTTTCTAAAAGTTTTGCTCCATTCATAATTCTAATATATTAGTAGTGACAAACTAAGACGGGAACCATAAATTTTCAGTATGGTATTAATTGCCAGCACCTATGACTGACTATTTGCATCCTGATTATGTTAATTCATAGTTGAATGAGCCAAACCTCATTTATTTTCCACTATAAAAAGTAAACTTAGCGATATGAGAGTAGAAGACACATCGGAAAAAATTTGCAATTACACCTTAAAATAGTCATTTTGCCTGGAGACCTGTCACAAGTGAGAAATCACCCTGAAATCTGTCAGATAATTCATACATGTAAAAAAGTGAAAATGTCAAATATGCAAAAGTTCAATTTAAGAAAAAATGCAGTACGATGGTGAAACTTTTCTAATTTGTATTGGATCTCTCTTCCTTTTGCTAGATGGGAAGGAATATGATATTTATGTATCTTATGCAAGGAATGCTGAGGAAGAAGAGTTTGTGTTACTGACCCTCCGTGGAGTTTTGGAGAATGAATTTGGATACAAGCTGTGCATCTTTGACCGTGACAGTCTACCTGGGGGAAGTAGGTATTTCACATGAGTACAAGTGACGCCACCCTGCATGGCAAAGGGAATCCTCAGTTTGGGGTCATGTGTGAGAGTCATGGCAGAGTTCTGTGTTGGCATCTTTGGATACTGAACGTCCAATTGTTTGATGTAATAGAGACTTCTTTAGGAATAAAATTACCTCCTAAGTTGTAGATTATTGAGGTGCCATTTATGGTACTAAAATAGTTCCCCTTGCAAGCCCTAAGAACTCCAGGTCAGAAAAGTATGGATGCACAGTGGATTAGGACTCTGTTAAATACCTCAGTTTTAAATGTTCTGCTTACACACATTTAGATTTTTAGAAGGTTTAAGCTAACCTGCATTAATTTCCCTAGGATTTTTTTTTTTTTTTTTTGCAAACATTGAGTTTAAGCAACACTTTTACGAAGACTGGGGTTTACTTGATTTTACTAAGAATGAGTTTGTGAAGAGAATGCATGGAGTTTTTCTTTATAGTACTCACTGATAATAATTAGAATATTTCCCTGTGGCATTTGTAATTTCCTTTTCCTCACTTTTGTTTTCTCGTAGTCCTATGCTATTAAACGCCCTCTTTTCTTGGGTCTGTTTCCTCCTTTCTACCAGCTCATACATTTGAGATGTAGTTTAATATTTTAAAAAGGCCAGTATATTCTAGAAACTTGAATTGCTGAATAATAAAAGTGCATCTCAAATTTTCAAGTCTACCCGGTAACATACAAAGTGATGGTCCATTTGAGTCTGTTTTAATAAATACCTAATAGCATTCCTAAACCCACTGTTGAACTTTGTGCTGTTGAAATGCATGTAATATGTTTATTCCTCAGCAAAACAAACTAGTTTTCCTTCCCTCCAATCCTGTTTATGTTCATCATTTCAGATGTTTTAAAAATGTCATATGGATAATGGAGATACAAAACAGACTTAAATGTTTATTTTCATTTTGAATTAGCTGGACCACTTATTTTATCTCCTTAGCCATTACCTAGAAGTCCATCATGCTAGTGTTCTACAGTATCATTTTGCCAGGAAATGATGACTTGATTATACAGTTAAGGGACAAATTCCACTCATTTTAAGACTTAAAATCCTAAGTCACTTATTCATCCATTTATTCATTCATTCTGCCATTCAACAAATATTTATTACAGTGTGAAAGTTATATAAAGACATACAGTATAACAGCAATGACCCTCCAATAGGGGTTGATAATTCTTTGAAGACTTCAAGTTCTACATAATTACTCTTGCATCTTGCTTCTGATGGTCAGTCCTTGTGATCTGCATTCTCCCTGCTGCTCTTCGTCCTCTTTGCCTCTGGGTCTCTTTCCATGCTTACACACGGTCTGCCTCCAGCAATACTGCGTGGAGTAGATAATTACTGATTCCTGGATTCTCCTCCAGGCTGCATATGGAATTTTAATTGCAAGTCTTTCCCCTTTGCCTCTGTACCTGTGAAGATGAAGGGGCAGAATGACAGCTTAGGGGAGTATTTTAAGGCATGAAATAGCTTCCCACAACACTAGTGCATTCCCTGGAATTGACTTCTATTGGAACCCCAGGTAAAGGATCATATAGTCCTAGACAAGCAACCTTGAGGAGATGGATTATTCCCAAGAATTTAGTGACAGGAACTAACCAGAGCCTTTGACAACAGAATAAAATTACACTGAATTTCCTTTTTCCCTGTTTCTTCTTCTTTTCTGACCTGAAGAAAGCATTTGCCTGTTAGCAAAGACAGACACGTCAGCTAGCAGCCTACCGAAACGCATGTCTTCATAGTAATGATAGGAGTTTAAGGAGAAAGATCTAGGGACTAATTTAGGCTCTAGAGCAGAGAGCAGAATAGAAAGCTGAGCTGAGAATGTGATGCCAGCCAAAATGCCATTCAGTGGGCTAGCCTTTTCTAAGTTCCTATTCTAAGGACATAGTGATACCAGTCTGAGTCGGGTAGGAGTCTGGCAACAGAGAGGGACTTTCAGAAAATGAATGTTCCTACTCTTGCTTTCCTCTGTTAGTGAGAAATGAATTTCCATGATTTTGCCTCTATAAAGATTATGTTTTTGAGTAGCCACTGGCATTAGAGAGTAAATACATGGGTATTGTTGGGGAGAAAGGGCTCAGGAGCTGATCTGACTGGGCTGCAGCATGCCATGTGTTTTGAAGAAATTGATATCTGTACAACCCATCTATTTCTCGTAATGCTTTTGAAGACCAGGGTTATAGAAGTATACTTGGCTTCGTGCCTGTTTGGAATTTTTGGGTGGGTGGAATATGGGCATCTGGTTTTCAGTATCTTGGAGGAGTGTGGCATTTATTGGACAGAGTGAGTGGGTGTAAGGATTAAGTTGTTGCAAATGTTCTTGGTAAAAGTTTCATCTCAGTTCTCAGGCTGTTACCCTGAGTTCCCTACACTTCCCCACACTACACTCAAGCCCCAGGCTTTTGGGGAGTTCTTGGCCAACACTAATCCCCATGGTGTTTTCTTTCTCAGTTGTCACAGATGAGACCTTGAGCTTCATTCAGAAAAGCAGACGCCTCCTGGTTGTCCTAAGCCCCAACTACGTGCTCCAGGGAACCCAAGCCCTCCTGGAGCTCAAGGCTGGCCTAGAAAACATGGCCTCTCGGGGCAACATCAACGTCATTTTAGTACAGTACAAGGCGGTGAAGGAGACGAAGGTGAAAGAGCTGAAGAGGGCTAAGACGGTGCTCACGGTCATTAAATGGAAAGGGGAGAAATCCAAGTATCCACAGGGCAGGTTCTGGAAGCAGCTGCAGGTGGCCATGCCAGTGAAGAAAAGTTCCAGGTGGTCTAGAAGTGGCGAGCAGGGTCTCTCCTATTCATCCTTGAAAAATGTATGAAAGGGACAACGAAAGGGGTAAAAAGAACCAAGGCAACTCCAGGAAGGAAGAGTCCCCTTTCTTTATTCCCAATTTCTTGTTTCACAGACAGAAAAGAATTCTGTCGAAGTCTCCCCCCAGGGATGTATTCAGGGTGACTGCATGACTGGTCGTTCCTCAGGCAATACTATGGTATTAGAATACTAATACAATTGTCGGTTTCCTCAGGCAATACTATGGTTTAGAATGGTCCTGCCACCAGTCTGTCACCAGTGTCTGATGTCACTATGTTCTTCGCAGGCAGACTTGGTTGATGCGAATTTCCCCTTTCTGCATCCTCTGTCCCTGTTCCCACATCTCTATTCCCTCTTCTCTCTCGTTGTTTATAATCTTAACAGTGTGGGGCAGCCTTTTGCTTGGATTTCAAGACCCCTTAAAGATAACTCATTTGCTAACAAGGTCTTAATGAGTTTCCAAGTCATTTTCTTTGTATTTTTACTCGTCGGTTAAACAGATAATCAGTGCCCAAATTAATTTGAGCTGATGACAATGAGCTCTTCTGCTCATTCTGCTGGGAAGTGCCCCCCCATCTCAGCCAGACTGACACCCACGCAGGACTCTATGAAGCAGTGTAACTGAAAGTGTTCCTTATGATGGTTTGAAAGGGCTTGCCTGCATTTTCTCCTACTAAATCCCTCGTGCCCTCCATCTCAGTCACTGATGTCATATTTGTCAACTTGAAAAACATACCATATTTATTTTTTATTGCAGTAAACTCCTAGATATATGTAGGTCGACCTGTATTTGTCACTTCATCTTCCCTATCTACTGTACCTCATATCAACCATTTAGAGTTTGCAGATGGCTCCACACGTGGTTCAGTCTGACAGGAAGCTTCTAATGGTGCTAAGAGAGAGTGAAATAACAGCAAAATGCTTTTAGGGCATTTTCTGGCTTGTGAGAAAAGCACAGAACAGGGTGTTCAGCAGTTTGTCTTTTCATCTTAGCCTTGCTAATGTGAATATTAGGAAAGTGATTTCTCCTCACTTGTTCTGACTCTCCACTGTAAAATGTGGCAGTTAGACTCAATGACCTTGCAAGTTACTTTTGGCATTAATATTCTAAGAGAATTAACTGGACCACCCAGTATTTTCCATATTTTATTCCCTGGTACAGTTAATACGCTCACTCCGAACAAGTCAGTCTGAAAAGCCTCTTCCTTGAAACTTGTTTTACTTCGTTTTAAATAAGATTGTATTGTTCTTATGACTTGGAAAAGTGAAAACTAAGTCCAGAGTTTACAGAGTGGTGAATACCTGCGGTGTACATATATCCATACATATATATATACACACACATATATATACGTATATGCACACACCCATGAATTATATGTGTATATATATCTACATTGTATAATATATATATATATACACATGGATTATATATGTGTATATGTATGTATATGTGTATATATATATATGCACACACCCTTATGTACACATGCATGTGACTTTAAATAGCTATTGGCACAATATTACAAACCACTGGAACTCTTAATCCAGTTTTTAAATTATGTTTTTACTGTAATGCTTTTGTGCCGGTGTTTTCTGTACATTATTTGTAAATTCACAGCTCACAGAGTAGTAGTTGCTTGTTCTCGCCTTCCCTAAATTAGTATAAATAGCTTACTGCTGCTCCATTTGGTCTGGGTGCAGTGGAATCTGTTGGACACAGAGCTTCTATGGTCACTGCTGAGCAGTACCAGTCCTCTGGCATTAACTGATCATCTACTCTGTCACAAGCACACACTCTTAGACACTAAACTATGGTAATCTCAGTGTTCAACTACTAGGGAGATGAATCTCTACTTGGACTGTTGAGTAATAGAGAAAAGGAAAATAAAATACCTATAAATAAGCCTGAGTTTCCTATGAAACACCATAATTCATAATTTAAGGGAACCCTTATCCCAGCATTATGGATGTTGATAACCAATTCTAAAACTATCTCCTGCATTTAAGTGTCCTTCAGCCGTGGTAAAGTCCATAATAAATCATTTCTCTGTAGTGGAGTTATTATTTTAAATTGAAGAAAAGAAAAGCTTCATGAATTCTTGACTGTAAAACTATGGTATGGAGTCATTCTTGGATCTGTTTTGTTTTTGTTTTTGTTTTTGCTTTGTCTTACTAATGCTTTTCTTTATTACAAACCACAATTACTCCTCCTGTTAACCCTTCATCCTCAAGACCAGAGGAAAGCTGACTCCAGATAAGCTTTGAATATCAGTTGCATGAGCTTTAGGTAATGGGAAACAGTCCCATCACAAGGGACCATTCTCTTGCCAATGCTGCATTCTTTTGCACTTTTGGATTCAATATTTATCCCAAATGATTTTGGGTACCCCTAGAAACTTCTTGATATTCTTTTTCCTATTTATCTACTGGTCTTTGATATTGAACTTTTCCAAATGCTAAAATCTAAAACATCTCACATCTAAATGATATGTCTCATTCTCAGAGAATTTTGTTTCAAGGTTTTTTTGTTTGTTTTATGTCCCAGAAGATACCCGATACAAAATTTTTGAAGGAGGTGAGGAAATATAATTTTGACAGCAAGGAGAAATCGCTCTATAATATTAAACAACTATGTCTCTAATGTTTAATAAAAAACCTTAATGGTTTTACATACATGATATAAAGATCTTCTTTATTAAGTTAACAAAGAACCATGACATATAAAGTGTCTAATTACACAATCATATAAAATTTATTTATCTTCTATATTGTAACTTAGGTGATTCCCTAGGATTCTAATAAACAAGCACTCCATTGTATTGGGAAAAAAAGCATCACTCCACTTGCTAATTATCCATTTCTTTCCATAGGTTTTAATATTTTAAGATTATCTTATTATCTTTTTTATTTTATTCATAATGTATTTTCCATTTTCCATTTGATTTGTAAATTTGTTTATTTTAAAAATAAACCATTTATTTTCAGATTTGAATTTTATTTTGTGCATGTGTTTTATGTCTTTATTTTCATCTTTGGGCATAAGAAATGAGAATAAGAAGAATTAATGATATGCATAAAAAGAAATGTTAGAAGTTACATTAGTTAAATTTCTCTTTCTGAGAGAAATCTGAGAAAAATGGGAACTTTATATTAAGAACATTTTCTTTACATGTGAATAAAAGAGTTATTTAAATAAAATGAATTGTTCTAGTGTGCCAGGTGTGTGTGTGTGTGTGTGTGTGCGCGTGTGCCCATGTGTGCCTGTGTGTGCATGTGTGTGTGTGGTTTTGTGTGTATGGAGACAGAGGAAGAATAACAGGGCAGCAGAAAGAGAGCAATGGGCTAGGAGATTAAATGTTGCTCTAGTAGTTTTTAGTCACATCTATTTTAAAGTAAATAGAATTTTTAAAATTTATTATTCACTTATAAGTCCACATATTAAGGTGATTCTCTAAAGTTACCATGAAGAATTGACTCAAATTCAATTAACATTAGCCCTACTTTAGTTTAATATTGTGTTCACTAGATTTAACCAAAGTGATTAATTCAAATGTCTACTATGTGTAGACATTTACATATAGGTATTTTTAATTTTTAATAATCCTGTAAGCTTATTCTTATTATATGCATTTTATAGATGGATGAACTCAGACTTAAAGATATTAAGATAAAAACAGAAATAAATGGAGAAACTAATTGAATTCAGATTCATCTTCCAAATTAGGTACCTCCTCCCCCTCCCTTTTTTACTACACTTCACGTTTTAAGAAAGAGAGAGAGAGAGAGACATTTGCTGCCCTTGCATACACCAATAATCTACCTAGAGAACAAAATTACAGTCCTAGTTTTCTTTTAGGTGAATTCCAGGGAGATTATGACTTTTAAAGGCAGGAGTATTCTAGAGTGTTGATTCTAGATCAGAAAACATGAATTCAAAATTTAGTACCACACAAGAAATCTGGTCTCATCAGTATATAGCCACACCTTACCTTTTTGAGCCCAACAGAATAAATGATCTAATTTATGACTCCCTCTCCGAATAACCTTCAGCATTAAAAAATAACAATTCACATCCTCAACTGCAGTTTTTACAATATGAAAAACATTAAAATATGCCATAAAGGAGGCAGCTTCTTTCAAAGTACTGTGTGAAGACCTTCAGGTATAGCCCATATCCCATGTGATAAGTATCTTCTCCATCCATTCCTCAATGTTACGGAATTCCACCACTCATATCTGTTTCTTTAGCATTGCCCTATTTCAAATGCAAATTTTACATTTTCAGGATGGGGTACCAATTAAAAAAAAAAACAATCTTTCTTTAGAGGATCTAGGATAGCACTTTATTTTCAACAGTGATATCCCCATTGGACAGAACATACATTTTCTTAATGTGACTATTTTGAAGTAAAACACACAGTACACACACATGCATGCACACACAATTTGAGCGCACAAATTTCCTTTTGTTGAAATCCATCCATATTACTTAAAGGTTATATCGTATTTCTCATGAGATGGGAGAAGCAGTACATTTTCTACTTTTACATTCTCAGGTTTATGAAAGGCAGCTACACAAATTCTCAGTAGGACTGGGACAAAGGAGTTTCCAAAACACACACACACACACACGGGCTTTGAAGATAAGTGAAAATTTAGATTTATCTTTTAAGATCAAACTTAAAATTCTCTAAAACTACTTCACACTCTTGACAAAACTAGTTAAAATGTCTTAAAAATTGAGCACATGTCTCTTCCAATTACCCTTCAAATTCATGTTAAATTTGCTAATTGGAAAGAACTAATCTGGTAAGGAGCACAGCTCCTTTATTCTCTGTAAATTCATAATGATCAAATTCACTGCAAACTTCCAGCTTGTCTTCACAGGCTAGAAAGTCTCTCCATCACTGTTTCATCCCTGGCCCCAAAAGAGTAGGTACTCAACCTCATGGTCTGTCTGCAGCACCTGTTTTCAGCATTGTCAATGGCTGTGATTTATACATTTGGAAATTCTTTCCTTCAGAAAATCACATTGTTTAATCCCTTAAATCTCATGATGAGCTAAGAACCACATTTATCTCAGGGACTTTCCATTGGAATCTCTGGATAAACCCACCTCAGTAACTATTAAAAGTTAATGCTTTGTCAGAAGTCTTAAACTAATTGATTCCTGCCCATTGTCTATGTTGTTACCCCTTTAAATGATTCGTAGTCCAATTCTTCACACATATACATGAAAAAAGGAGATTTTAGTTGATAACAAAATCAATACTATCAACTATCTGATGTTGTGTCCAAAAATTTTAAGAATCAAGAGATATAACTGTGTGGTTCTTAAGAGATGGTAATTCCCTATTGCTCTTTGCTGGTCAGGCTGTCTGGAGCATTGTGTTCAGTCCAGTTCAAGATATGACTCTCAGGAGGTATATATATAAACTGATGATTATTCAGAGGAAAATGATAAAAGTGGGGGAAGAGACTTGATACAGGTCTTCTAAGGAATAAGATAAAAATTCTAAAGTTGATCTAAATTTAAAAATGAGAAGAAAATACAGTGAGGTCAAAACAGTTGTGAAATATTTTAAACATTTGAAGATATCAGATCTAAGACCACCAGATAAAAGAGGCAGGGAAGAGTATTTCAGAAAAAATAATTTACAAACAGCTGAAATTAGCTGCCTTTTGGAGGTAGTAAATTCCTCATCCTTGAAGGTAGCAGAGTCTTGGCAATCATTTATAAGAGTGGCATAAATGAGATTCATTAACTGGGTAGATTATTTAACACTGAGATCCTATATTTTTTTTTAAGTATTTTATTTTTCATTATTTTTTATTAACATATGATGTATTATTTGTTTCAGGGGTATAGGTCTGTGATTCATCAGTCTTACACAATTCACAGCACTCACCATAGTACCTACCCTCCCCAAAGTCCATCATCCAGCCACCCTATCCCTCCACTCCCCTCCACTCCAGCAACCCTCAGTTTGTTTCCTGAGATTAAGAGTCTCTTATGGTTTGTCTCCCTCTCTGGTTTCATCTTGTTTCATTTTTCCTTCCATTCCCCTATGATCCTCTGTCTTGTTTTTCAAATTCCTCATATCAGTGAGATCATATGATACTTGACTTTCTCTGATTGACTTAGGCTAAGTGAAAAGTCAATCAGAGATACTACATTCTTAAGTGTTTATTTATTGCCTCTCCTTTGTAGGATGGACAATGATGAACTACAGTTTGTGGAAGTTTTCACTAGGCATTGTCCTATCTTTCCATTTTCCTATAGATACAGTGGAAGCAGTTTTTGACTTCATTCAGAGAAGCCGAAGGATGATTGTTGTCCTGAGCCCAGACTATGTGACAGAAAAAAGCATCAGCATGCTGGAGTTTAAACTGGGTGTCATGTGCCAGAACTCCATCTCCACCAAGCTCATTGTGGTTGAGTACCGTCCCCTTGAGCATCCACACCCAAGCATCCTGCAGCTGAAGGAATCTGTGTCTTTTGTGAGCTGGGAGGGAGAAAAGTCCAAACATTCTGGCTCTAAATTCTGGAAGGCCTTGCGGTTGGCTCTTCCCCTGAGAAGTCTGAGTGCCAGCTCTGGCTGGAATGAAAGCTGTTCTTCCCAGTCTGACATCAGTCTGGACCATGTTCAAAGGAGGAGAAGTCGTTTGAAAGAGCCCCCAGAACTCCAGGGCTCAGGGAGAGCTGCAGGCAACTCTCCAGCCCCAGACACAATTTCCAAGCACAGAGGGAAGCCCTCTGCAGCCTGTCGTTGCTGTGTCACCTACTGTGAAGGAGAGAGTCATCTCAGGAGCAAGAACCGGGCAGAGATACATACCCAGCCCCAGTGGGAAACACACCTCTGTAAGCCTGTTCCCCAAGAATCAGAAACTCAATGGATACAAAATGGCACCAGATTGGAACCCCCTGCTTCCCAGATCTCAGCCCTTGCTCTTCACCATTTCACGGATTTATCCAATAACAATGACTTCTATATCCTATAATTACCATGTGGTGGGTGGAGGCTGCTATCTATCTATACCAGCCCTCTTTGTGTCATGAACCTATGGGAATAATTGACATTTTTATCATCTAATGGACTACCAGACTGTGTCCCCTTTATTGACTTTTAAAAACTATTTATTTCTAGGAGACAAAAGACCTGAGGACCTGAATCCAGAATTATTGCCTCTAATGGCCTCAGAAGAGCACACTCTTCTTGGGCCCTAGAAGGTCAGTATGTGAAAGTTGCCTAAAGTCTGATCCTCTGTCTTGCCCAATGGTTTCAAACTGAGCAAAGAATTTAAGTGTGTTTCCTTTGAGTTTGTTGATCAACCTCATATTATGAGTCAGTCAGGTGTACTTGGGCTATGACACTTAAACTATGTATATTCCAAGAGAGCATTGTGGAAATGAGTTGATTGTGGTGGAAGCTGTAAGATTAAGTTCTACTAAAAGCCTACAGCACATTTTCCCTGGAAGAACCAAACACACTCACACAGGGATACATGGTGTTCTATCTCACTGTAAACTAGTGTTCTATAAACTGCCTAAAGTTGTTAGCATCAATAAAGTTATATTTTTATGTGATTTCATTTGTACTAACAAATTTTTACTTGTCTTTCCCCTCTTCTTTTTATGGCTTTTGAATTCATATCAGAAGAGAATTCCATTTCAGGAAATCAAGACTTGGTTTAGGTACTAGGAAAGTTTGAGGTGTCTCTTTAGTTTCTTTCTAACGTGTATGGAGGGGAGATTGGGGAAAGGACAGAAAGAGAGTGAGAAAATGTTTCAAATGAAATGGAAGTTTACACAAAAATCTCCTATTTTTAGAACTGACAGCTGAAAAATTCAGTATTGTTAGGGATTCAGTGTAGCATTTGGTGTATGTATCCCTTCTTTGCATTCAAGATTCTGAAGAAGGGATAGTCAGTCCACGTGCCTACAAGAATCAGAAAGTAAGAAAAAAGAGAAAAGGGGGCTAGATATAAGCATAATACACATGCTGTCCATCTAATACCCATATGTTTAGGGACATAGGTATAGGTACATATTTCTTTACTTGAAACATTTTAACACGATCATAAAAGGCACATGGCATTTGATCTGCCAGTGAGGGAGATAATAGAGATGATTGGGCCTGTGGGTAACTGAAGAATATTTCTTAAAAAGGGAGCATCCTCTACTCAGCTCCATCATGATAGTTGTCACTCAGCCCCATTGTTGGCAGATTGTACAGTTTTTCAAAAGAATCTAAAAATTAAGATTTGTACGTAGTCTCTCAACTACAGGATGTTTTAAATTTAAAATAAAAGAAAAAAAAGAACCAACCAAAACACATGAACACATAGTCAGCCTGAGGGCCACTAGTTTGTAATTTTAGAACTAAAATATTCACCCACAGAGTATATATCTGAGTGGGGATTCAAGTGTCCTTGGCAATACTGAGACTAGAGAACACAGGCAGGACCTAGGACATAATGGGACACTTTTATTCCCTCCCCAAATAAAAAACATCTGAATCCTCAAAAATAAGGCTGATCTGACCTACCATTCATCAGAGGAGGAAAAAAGCCAGAAAATTGTGTGCCTTCCATCTACTCTGATGGATGAGTACAGGCTCCCTGTCTGGTGAGGTTACTCTAAAAAAAAAAATAGAAGCACAATCTACTCCCCCTAAACAGGAACAGAACAAAAAGAGCAAAAGACCATACCAGGCGTGAGCAGTCACCTTCAGTACATTAGTGCTGGCTGCTAGTTAGCTATGGCCCAATGAATGTCAGCCTTTCTCAGTCACTAATAGTGAAGGATGGGTGGAGAAAGAAGCCACACATTTCATCCCACTACTCCACTTGGAGAGAAAAGCAGAAAATCCCTTCTCTGTTGAAACAAACTATTACATCCTTTTCCTGTTAAAAGAAAAAGATGTGAGAATAAGGGACACCCCAGAGTAAATGTGACTCATCATGGAACTTGTAATTAGGAAATGACAGACCACCCTACCTGAATATCTAGCAGAAAACAATCCATATTCTATATTGCATTTCTTCTTGAACAAATTAATCCAACCTTGATGTATGTTCAAGGATCTTCACTTGGAAGACAGACAGCAGTTTCTCTCCCAGTCTATTAAAAGGGAGTACTGTATGTTGCTCCAAATCCTAAAAAGGGAGAGAATGTTTTTACCCATAATCAGTCTTATTCCTTATCAGCTCAGTGTCCCAACTACAAAATATCTTTGGAAAAATTGAGAAACTACTCTTGTCATTTATGAATTATTTTTCGTGTGTGAAAAAAATAAAGGATAAGTGGCAAAGGCATGGAAATTAAACATGAGTTCTTATGAATGAGTAGCCAGATAACCGTGTTTTCAAAAGGTAAGTTAGTTTTGGTCAGTATCAATTTCCATTAACAATATAAGGACAGTGTAAGCACTATAAAGTCATAGCTTTTGGCGTTAGCTACACAGGGGTCAGAAAGGTAATGGACCATATTCCTACTGTATGAAGAAAGGCTAGGAGGTTATGTTATTAGTCTCTGACCAAACATTCCATACTTGAGTGTAATATTCATTGCCATTTATTTCAATGAGGCAAATGATAAGAAAATTTTCTCATGGGTCATGCATATTCATAACTGATATGATTGCAGGTTAAATGGATATCATTTACATAGGAATGTTGCCTATTTAGGAGCAGGAGTTTTAAGTCAAGTAGAGATGAATGTGAGTATTGCTTCTCTACTAATTATCTGTTTGACTATGGGCTCTCTGGGCCTCAATCTCCTACTAGCTAAAATGGAGATCATATTAACCTCACTGAGTTTTGTGGGCATTAAATGATAGAATGCATGTAAGTGCATAGCACAGTTCCTGGCGCATTATAAGTGCTTGATAAGTGTTGGCCAGTACTATTGCCGTGAAATCATGCTCATGGTTGCATAAACTTATATTTGCATAATGATTTAAGACTCACAAATTGATTTTGTATGTCTCACTTTTCTTTCCTTATCTTTCTTTTTTTTAAATCTCACAAAATGCACCAAAGTAGTACATAGCAGGAACATATTATCCAGGTTAAGTGACTTTCCTAATGACACTCAGCCAATTAGCAATATGGTTGGGCCTGTAATCTAGGCTTCTGACACCTGACCCAGTACCAATTCTGGAACGATTCCTATAAGATTCATGTGGAAGTATTTCTAATTGTAACTATTTAATTTGAACCATTATACATTCAAATCAACAAGTCAATTAATGTAAACCCACAAGCAGCTAATTAAATGTCATATCAAGTGTCTGATGTGTCATCTGGCCTTGTCATATTATGATTTTATATAATTTCATTTTTTAATATTATAACATTTGTTTAAGAATTTTAGAAGTGGAACCATTTTTTTTGTGTCTTCCAGACTTTATGATCAGGTTATAATTTTTCTCTCAAAATAAATTATTTGTATTTGTCTTAATGGAAAATAAAAATGTATCCACCATTTACCTTGAAAAACAAATTTAGTCTTTCAGCAGTTATGATTTACACTGTGAGTTCTAGTCACCATCTCTTATAACTAGTAAAACCTTGAATAAAGTATTCACTTCCAGTTTGAAAAGTTGAAATGGTAAAACTAATGTGCATGAAAATGCCATCAATAATAAATTAGTCTAGTTATAAAGCTATATGAACACAGGACAATCAATCCCTACAGCAATGGTTTCAAAATTTTTGTGTCTAAAAATTGTTTGGGGGGCATCTTACAGCAGAGATCCTGGGACAAGTTCCTCCCCCGGGGGAGATGATTTATTGGGTACTGGGCATTGTCTAGGAGTCTGCTTTTTGATATTGTGCCCTTGATAATTCAGTTAAGGTATTCCATGGGTCAACTACTACTTATAAGAATTCTTTCAAACCCTTCCCATATTTTTTATATTATTATTCAGGTTTAAGAGGAGGAAAGTCTTATTAGAGTCTGGTCCAAGGCTTCTCAAAGTGTGTTCCTTGATGAATCCATATTGGAACTATTTTGAGTTCATGTAAAAATGCATATTTCTTGACCCATCCAAGAATAACTAAATGAAGATCTCTAGAGTGGGGGCAGATTTGCACTTGCAATAAACTTTCTGGGTGATTCTGATGCACAAAAAGTTTAAGAACCATTAATTTTATCTCTCTTTAACTCCTTTTTTACCCTTGTAGGCTCTGATTTTCTCCAGCCAAGAAGGACTACAAATCATCCTTTTAACAAGGTGTTTGCAGGCAATAGATGAAAATATAGGACATGTTTAGCCCTTGAATTGCTTCGACACAGGAGACAAATAGAGGAGTGGTTGGTACAGTGTATTTCTAACATATGAAGCATCAAACACTGACATTTGGAATCTGGTAGGATTGCTGTGGTCATCACATGTATTAATCAGATTCAGATAAGCTATGCTCTGCTAACAAATAACCCCAACATTTCAGTAGCTTTATATAACAAGACTTATTTCTTGTTTATGCTATATGTCCATATAGGGGCTTACACTTTTGTAGTTTTGCCATCTGAAATGTGTGGCTTCCTGCTATTCTAAACTTCAGCCTAAATATGACACTTAACCACTCTCACTTACAACCCATTGGTCAAAACTAGCTATGGCACTGATCTAGTCATAGAGAAGGCTGGAAAATGCATTCTTCCTGTGTTCTTGGGAAGAGAAAATGAAATGGAACTTGGTGAACACATAGGGTTGTCTTTGCCTAAGAATGAGATATTGAGATTGCCTGAAGAGGCAAGAGAACTACAACTGGAGTTATGTTACATACTTTGATAATGAAGAAATGGAATGATTTTCCTGCCGAGACCCCACCTCCACTTGCCAAGGTGTCAAGTCAGGTACTTATGAAAAAACAGTGTACAGAAATGAATAGGGTTTGTCCCTAATTTTCCTAAAGGAAAGTTGTTGAAGGCATACATAATAATTACAGCTCCTGGTCAAGAAAAAGCATTCTTAAAAATTGGTAAGTTTCTGTATTTGGTTAATTTCCATTCAGTGACTTTAGGTAGTTCTCTAAGAATGTGATGCTCAAACCATCTGTCAATGAGCCATTTCATTTTTGAATATCCAGGGAGCCTCAGAAGGATTGAAGACATTTAGAACACAGCAGAGCATGTAACACAGTCATTAGAAAGCCTCCCTTGATCTATTTATCTGAAGAGCCAAGTGGGGAATTCAAACGGAACATGCTAGAGACCAGATGAAGGAAGAGACAAATGCTGCTCTGGGTACTATGAAGTCAGCTGCTATCTACGCATCTGTTCTCTCTATAATTTGGACTCTCTGTATTAAAGATTTGAATTTTTATGACTTGTCTAATGTTGTGCAGTATCATTTGGTCATGAAGAAATCTCTCTTTGGGTTAGTGAAGATCAGTGCTTAAGGAGCCTCGATCCATACTAACAAGTTATGACGCTGAACAAAGAAAAAGTTGGATTGCTTAGGATAGTAAGGATATTATTGACATACTCAAAATTCTCTAGAGAGTAACTTACGAAGCTTTTCTCTTGGATAATACAAAACACTTATAAATATTTAAATGGAAAAAAAATTGGCTCTTTGAAATGGGCTCATAGAAAGAAAGCAGAAAGATTCAAAATCTGGACTCAGATCATGAACTATATTATCCTACTTTAGGTGATGGGAATTTTAATACTCTGTTGCTGTATTGAAAAAACAAAGTGGGGTGTCTGGGTGACTCAGTCGTTTAGTGTCTGCCTTCAGCTCAGGTCATGATCCCAGGGGCCTGGGATAGAGCCCCACATCGGGCTCCCTGCTCAGCAGGAAGCCTGCTTCTCCCTCTCCCACTCTCCCTGCTTGTGTTCCTGCTCTCGCTATCTCTCTCTGTGAAATAAATAAATAAAATCTTAAAAAAAAAAAAAAAAAACAAAGTAAGATCAAAGCTGATATGTTTATTTTTCATTTAAGACACAAAGCCATACATAAAACTACTTTTCTATTGTCAAAAACTATGCTACATGCTTGCAGTGAGTTTATAATTCAATACCATGTTTTGAAACACTTGAGGCAAGTGGTTCTTTTAAAAAATTGCACATATTTGGGGCCTACCTCAGACTACTAAATCTCCCAAAATTATTTAGATGTATACTTTTGTAAAGAATAATGGACTTAAGTACCTTTATAATATTTGCAAATGTTTCTGTGAGAAATCAGTGATAACACATTATAAATTTGGAGAAAAAAAGATAAAAGGAAATCCCGATCTTTTAGTCAATATTTTTTTTTTCTTAAAAAGCAAACCTTAAAACTCACTGCCAAATACTGGAATTTGAGCCCTTTATTTCCATATCTTACTTTGAAATTTCATAAAATAGGAGAAAAAAAAAGGTAGATAATAAAATTATAGAAATAATCAATGTAGTTAATTAACGGAGAGCCAAAGAAGGTTGGAACGCTAGTATTTATTACATCCATGTCATCAGTCATCTACAATGGGACAAAATGTTCAAGGGGTAACTTGGCTATTGGCAAAGACAATTAAATGCCTTCTAAGAAGAACCAAAAGAAAAAAAGAGAGAATAAGTGAACCCACTCACTCATTTACAAACCTTAGTACTATAACATAGAAGAGACACCCAGAACAATTGCCACAGCTAAAATGTGGAGTAAGTGTCAGGGTTTGGGGAATAAAGCTGAATGGTCACTTCTAAAAATAAGGGCTTTTGATATAGTGGAATCAGGAGACCTGAACTGCAGTGCCAGTTCTCTTTACTGTGTGATTTCAGACACTTTTGCTCTCAAGTTCTTAATTTCCCCACATATTATATGGGTACAATATAATAGCTACCTCATTAGACTGTTGTAAGGGTAAAATAATAAATGTGAGCCCCTAACATCTGTAAATTACATGTTTGGTAGTGATATTATTATTATTATTATTATTATCATTACTACATTGTAAAAGAAAGCTGCAGAAAAGAAAGAGGCTCAATAGAAGTTCCTTAACCTGCTGAATACTAGGGTACTGTCCAGAGCACATAGTCTAACTGTAATCCTTCATAACGTAAAAATTAAAGAATAAACAATACAATTTCATATGACTCTAAATGTTGAAGACTATAAAAAAAATCACAGATTATGAAAAAGTAATTTTTTAAAAAAATGCCATCTGTTTTGTACTACCATATAACCAACTATCTAATAACAGCTTAAAACAACAAATATTGATTATCTCACATTTTCCGTGGGTCTGGGTCAGGAATTTGGGAGAAGCTTAGCTGGGTGTTTCTTACTCAGAGCTACTCATGAGGTTGCTATCAAACTGTTGACCAGGGCAAAGTCCCTCTGAACACCACCGGGGCTGGAAGATCCACCTCCAAGTGCAGGCACATAAGTTTTGGTTGGAAGCCTAAGTGCCTATTTGTATGAACCTCCATAGGCTGCTTGAGTATCCTAGTGACACATACCTGGCTCAGCCCAGAGCAAGAGATCCCAAAGAGAGAGAGCAAGGAGGAAATCACGGTGCCTTCAAGACCTAGTCTCGAAACTGACGTATCATCACTTGTACGATATTCTATTGGCTAGAAATGAGTCTAAGCCCCATCCAAATTCAAGAGGAAGGGAATTCATCCCTATCTCTTTTTTTTTTAAAGATTTTATTTATTTATTTGAGACAGAGAGAATGAGAGAGAGAGAGCATGAGAAGGAGGAGGGTCAGAGGGAGAAGCAGACTCCCCGCCGAGCAGGGAGCCCGATGCGGGACTCGATCCCGGGACTCCAGGATCATGACCTGAGCCGAAGGCAGTCGCTTAACCGACTGAACCACCCAGGCGCCCATCCCTATCTCTTAAAGGAAGGAGTATCAAAAAATTTGGGGACATCTTTTAGAGCCAGCACTATAACATAGACAACCATTTATTTTTCAGTTGAATAAATTCAAGTCCAGAAAAGGAAAGTGACAGTTCCTCAGGCTTCCTAACTTTGTCCCTAACATAGTAAGCTAACTAGCTGTAGAGGTGTCACAACTCAAATGAGAGCTGTATTGTTCTGGCTAGGACATTTCTTTTTCCTGGTGGAAGATGAAGAATGGGGAAGAATTCAGTCATCGGTAGTCCGGGTTACCTCTGTCTCCGTTTTCTGCCTGTCTGCCTCACCCTTTCTTTCTCCCTTCTCTATCTCTCTCTCTGTGTCTCTCTCTAACTCCTCCTCCCTCCTTCCCCTTTCCCTCATTCTGTTTTAGTCCACAAAGAGACAGTAGGCTCTAAAAGTTGCAGGAGGATGAGATGAACAAAGCTGATTAGTCACATTCTTGGTCTGGGGTTTGAGTATTGAAACACCTTTTATTTTAACCTCTAAAGTGATTGAAAGTGACTGTTTATTCCAAAAAGCAGCCACTGAAAGAGGAAAAATGAGGAGGTAACTGCTTTCTCTGAAGTAACCCAGCTTCTCATCTTAGCTCTGAACTTAAATGGTTATATACAAGAAATCAAAGCATTTCTCTTCTGTATCTCAGACTTCTGAGCCCCCAAAATGGATAGAATTGGACTAGCAAGTCTGTAGGATGTTATCATTCTATGCTTCTTTGATTCACTGAGTAATCCTCAGATAACCCCTTCTCCTCCTCCTGTGTCACACACATCAGCATCCAAGGTTTAGTGAGATTTGAAAGAATATTTAAAAGGTGCAAGTGTTCTTCCCAAAGAGTCATAAAGAATGCTTCTCTCTGTTTAGACCTAGTTCCTGTAATGCATTTCTCCCTTGTGAAGTTAAACAGCTAACTTCTGTTCTCCTCCCTTATCTGCTGCCTATCACTCTCTGGGGCTCATGGCTATGAGAAGATATATCAAGTTTACCAGGAGCCTACTCATAGTTCAACTCTGGTGCCTCCAATTTCTCTAAACCAATTTTAATCTTAAGTCTCAAGGTCACTACTTTGTAAACAAGACTGAACAAATATTACCTTTTGTCTTCCTAACAGTTTTATGCCCTTATTTCTTACCCATGCAAACCTCAAGCAACCTTCCTGTTGTGATACATATCCATGTATTTCATGATGCCAAAAAACATAAAGGGAGACTAATTTTGAAATTACACAGTGTAGAAACAGCAATAGGAATGAGATCTGAGTTCTAATCCAAACTATAATTCTTCTCCTTCTTCTTCTCTCTCTCTCTCTCTTTTTTTTTTTTTTTTTTGCTTTTGCTATGAGACTTTGGGGAAAGCACTGAACTGCACAATGTTCTCCCCATCAATACAATTCAAGGATCGCTATGTGTCTTTCCATCTCTGATATTCTAGGAGTTAGTGTAATAGTAACAAAGCAAGACTTTCTTATGTATTTCAGGGTTACCCATGGTTCTCTCCAAATAATCTGAAGTCAGATGTCTAAGAAAGTGCATAAAATGCTAGTTAAGTTGCACAAAGTGAAACCAAATCTCAGAGATCTCTCCTCTCCACTCATCCTGAGTCAATTGCTTGCCAAATGTTGTTGATTCTACTTCCAAAAAGCTTTTCAAAAATTCTCCTCTCTTCTTCTCCCCAAGAATTCTATGAATTTAAACTACATATGCTCCAAACACTATTTCCTGAATATGCTGTGTAACTTTTATGCTCCATGTGCCTTTGCTAATATTACTTCTGCATGGAATGCCCACTCTTCTCCTCCTCCCTGTAAGTGCTCTTTCAATGTTTTCAAACCTATGAAACTTTCCCAGGCAGTGTTGAATGCTCCTTCCTTTATACTTGTGTTGCTCATAACACTTCTGTTATTGAATTATAAATTTCTATCTCTCCCTTTCACCTGCTGTACTGTAAGCTCCCATGGGCTAATGCTATATATTGAATCTCTAATTTGAGCACTTAGCATGATGACAAGCACATAACAGTTTTTCCATTCATGTTTCCTTAAACAAATTAATTATCATGACCACTATCATTGGAAACAAAGTAATAGAGCTTTTCCTCTTTCTTCTATTTCCCCTCCATTATAGATGCAGTGTTGTACACAAGGCACCATTTTAGGCTTTTGTTCATCACTGTATAAAAAGAATTCCAATATTGGGATCCTGGGGTTCCCAACACCACATCCAGCATCACTAATTTTTGCCCTTGGCATTGTTTGAGGACAGATGATCCATGACCTAGTAGGGGTGGAAAGAGCCCCAGCAGTGCCATGCCTGGCCTGGTTCCCACCCTCACATTAAGGACTCCCACCCCTGCTACACTCTATCTGCAATAACAGCTGAGGCTGGAATCAGTACCATGCTCATCGGCAGATGTTCTGTTTGTGATGTTGCTATTAAATAGGCTCAAAATGACAGCTGTGATAAACATGCTCTACC